AGTCAGTAGAGCATGCAAGTCTTGATCTCAGGGTTATAAGTTGGAACCCCATGTGCAGTGTAGAGATTACCTAAAAATGAAAAAAATTGGGTGCCTGGGTGGCTCAGTTGGTTAAGCGTCCAACTCTTGGTTTTGGCTCAGGTCATGATCTTGGGGTCATGAGATCGAGCCCCACATTGGGCTCCATGATGGATGTGGAGCCTGCTTGAGATTCTCTCTCTGGCCTCCCCATCTCCCAGCTCATGCATGTGTGCATGCACTCTCTCTCAAAAAAAAAATAATAATAATAATAAATAAAAATCTTTAAAAGTCAGTTTCAGGAAAAAACTAGAAGAAACACAAAAACATGGAAGCTAAACAACATTTTTATAAACAACCAATGGGTCAATGGAGAAATCATAGTGAAAATGAAAAAAATACCTGCAGGCAAATGAAAATGGAAACACTACAGTTCAAAATCTTTGCAACACAGCTAAAGCTCTTTTAAGAGAGAAGTTTATAGTGATACAGATGTACCTCAAGAAAGAAGAAAAATCTCAAATGAACAATTTAACCTCACACATAAAGGAACTAGAGGGCACCTGGGTGGCTCCGTTGGTTAAGCATCCCACTCTTGGTTTCAGCTCAGGTCATGATCTCAGGGTCATGAGATTGAGCCCTGTGTGGGGCTCCACTCAATACAGAGTCTGCTTGTCCCTCTTCCTCCCCCTCTGCTCCTGCTCCCACTTGTGCATGCATGTGCTGTCTCTCTAAATGAATAAATAAAATCTTTTAAAAAAAGGAACTAGAAAAATAAAATAAAACCTAAACTTAGTAGAAGGAAGGAGGTAATACAGATCAGACTGTAAATAAATGAAATAGAGACTAAAAAAAATAGAAAGGATCAGTAAAACTAAGAGTTGGCTCTTTGAAAAGTTAAACAAAACTGATAAACCTTTAGCTAGGCTCATCAAGAGAAAAAGAGAGAGGACTCCAATAAAATCAGAAATGAAAGAGAAGTTACAAGTGACACCAGAGAAATACAAAGGATTATAAAAATTATGAAAAATTATATGCCAACAAATTGGACAACCTAGAAGAAATGGATAAATTCCTAGAAACGTACTATCTTCCAAGGCTGAATCAGGAAGAAATAGAATTTCTGAACAGACCAATTACTAGTAACAAAATTGAATCAGTACTTAAAAAAACTCCCAAAAAACAAAAGTCCAGGACCAGAAGGCTTCACAGGTGAATTTACCAAACATTTAAAAAAGAGCTAACACCTATTCTTCTCAAACTATTCCAAAAAACAGAAGAGGAAGGAATGCTTCCAAATTCATGCTGTGAGGCCAGTATTACTCTGATACCAAATCCAAAGATACTATAAAAAAAGAAAATTACAAACCAATATCCCTGATGAGCATAGATGCAAAAATCCTCAACAAAATATTAGCAAACTGAATTCAAAAATACATTAAAAGGGTCATTCATCACAATCAAGTGGAATTTATTCCAGGGATACAAAGATGGTTTAATATATGCAAATCAATGTGATACATCATATTAACAAAATGAAGGATAAACATCATACAGTCATCTCAATAGATGCAGAAAAAACATTTGACAATATTCAACATCCATTTATGATAAAAATCTCTCAACAAAGTATACTTAGAGGAAACATACTTCAACATAATAAAGGCCATATATGAAAAACCCACAGTTAACCTCATACTCAACAGTGAAAAACTGAGAGCTTTTCCTCTAAGATCAGGAAAAAGACAAGGATGTCCACTCTCACCACTCTTAATCAACATAATACTGGAGTTCCTAGTCATCAGGCAAGAAAAAGAAATTAAAGGCATTCAATTTGGCAAGCAAGAAGTAAAATTTTCACTATTTGCAGATGACATGATACTATATATAGGAAACTCTAAAGACTCCACCCCCCCAAAAAAAACTATTAGAACTAATAAATGAATTCAGTAAAGTTGCAGGATACAAAATCAACATACAGAAATCTGTTGTGTTTCTATACACTACTAATGAGATAGCAAAAAGAGAAATTAAGAAAATAGTTCCATTTACAATTGCATCAAAAAGAATGTAATATCTAGGAATAAATTTAACCAGAGATGAAAGACCTATACTTTGAAAATTGTAAGACATTGATGAAAGAAATCAGAGATGACACAAATAAATGGAAAAATATATGAAGTTTATGGATTGGAAGAACAAATATTGTTAAAATGTCCATACTACCCAAACCAACCTATAGATTTAATGCAATCCCTATCAAAATATCAATAGCATTTTTCACAGAACTAGAACAAATGATCCTAAAATTTGTATTGAACCACAAAAGGCCCCCAAATAGCCAAAGCAATATTGAGAAAAAAGAACAAAGTTGGAGCTATCACAATTCCAGATTTCAAGATTTACTACAAAGCTATAGTAATCAAAACAATATGGTACTGGCACAAAATAGACACAGATCAATGGAACACGATTGATAGCCCAGAAATAAATCCATGCTTATATAGTTAATTAATCTATAACAAAGGAGGCAAGAATACATAATGGGGAAAAGACAGTACCTTCCATAAATGTTGTTGGGAAAATTGGACAGCTACATGCAAAAGAATGAAACTGGACCACTTTCTTATACCATACACATAATAAATTCAAAGTGGATTAAAGACTTAAGTATAAGACCCAAAACCACAAAATTCCTAAAAGATAACATAGGCAGTAATCTCTTGGAAATCAGCCTTAGCAATATTTTTCTGGGCAGGTCTCCCCAGGCAAAGGAAGCAAGAGCAAAAATATCAACTATTGGGACTACATCAAACTAAAAAGGTTTTACACAGCAAAGGAAGCCATCAGCAAACCAAAAAAGGCAACCTATTGAATGGGAGAAAACATTTGCAAATGATATATCCAATAAAGCATTACTATCCAAAATATATAAAGAACTCATACAGCTCAATGCCAAAAAACCCCAATCTGATTAAAAAATGAACAGAGGACCTGAACAGACATTTTTCCAAAGAAGACATACAGATGGCCAACAGACACATGAAAAGATGCTCAACATCACTGATCATCAGGGAAATGCAAGTCAATACCACAAGGAGATACCACCTCACACCAGTCAGAATGGCTAGCATCAAAAAGACAAGAGATAACAAATGTTGCTGAGAACGTGGAGAAAAGGGAACCCTTGAGCATAGTGGGGATATTAACTGGTGCAGCCATTATGGAAAACAGTACAGAGATTCCTCAAAAAACTAAAAATAAAAGTGCCATACTATCCAGTAATTCCACTTCTGGGTATTTACCCAAAGAAAATTAAAACACTAATTCAAAAAGATATATGCACCCTTATGTTTAATGTAGCATTATTTATAATAGCCAAGATATGAAAGCAACCTAAGTGTCCATAGATAGATGAGTAAATAAAGAAGATGTGGTATATGAACACAATGGAATACTACTTAGCCATAAAAAAGAATGAAGTCTGGCCATTTGCAACAACATGGGATGGACCTAGAGGGTATTATGCTGAGTGAAATAAGTCAAAGAAAGACAAATATTCTATTATTTCACTTACATATGGAATCTAAAAAAGCAACGAACCAATCAAAAATAACAAAAATGAAATAACTGATAAATATAGAGAACAAACTAGTGGTTGCCAGGGTGTGGGGGGTGGGAAATGGGGATTATAGGTGAAGGGGATTAAGAGGTGCAAACTTCCAGTTAGAAAATAAGTGAGTCACTGGATTGAAAAGTACAAAAAAATAAGCAGAAACAGATCCTAGCTTGTAGATAAAAAGAAAAGCCCTACTGAACTCAAAGACAGGCCCAGAGGCATTGTCCAGCACCTTCCTTTTACAGACTGGCAAACAGAGGGTCAATTTCACACAAATTTTAGGCAGCAGACCAGAGCAGGGCCTTGGGCTGGTCCCTGAGAGGAGGTGAGAATTCCCAGACAGAACATAGAAGCATCAGGCAACGGGGGAAGGAGGTTTCAGGATCAGGAATATCAGGACCTTATGTCTGTCTAGCATTTTTCAAAGCTCTGACACATACCAGATTATCATCCCAGTCCATTCCTATACCACCTTTAACCTTTGGGATTGCTGAGCATAATAACCTTGTACGCTCTGGGCAAGGCACTCACACTCTGCAGAGTACTCTATCACAGCATCTAACAGGCTATATTATAATTTTATGATGTGTTTACATTTTTCTCTCCACTAGACCATGAATTCCTCTAGAGCATGAAGGTTGTCTTAGTGGTTTTAGCTTCCTTTGGGCCTCATATTAGACAAGGGCCTGGCACTCATAGGTGCTCAGTAAATGTTTAGTGAATAAACAAATAAAAGAACTCATTGAATAATCACATCAGGCTGGCAAACTACTCTGCAAGCAGAGTCAGGGGTGCTGAGGTTTAGCTCAGGACACATCTCATTCATCTCAGACCTCCAGCGCCTAGCAAGTGTTTATTTGTTGAACTAGACTAACCCAAAAGAGTTACTATTAATAGTTGGCATTTCAGGACAGGGAAGAGGGAAGGCGGGAGCTAGAGTGAGCCAATGAAACAGCTTATGAGAGGATGAAAGGGCATTCCTCTTCCTCACCTCTCCCACTTTAAGAATTGTACCCTCAGTCAGTAGAACACACAACTCTTGACCTCAGGGTTGTGAGTTCAAGCCCCACATTGGATGTACAGATTACCTAAGAATAAAATTTTAAGGAAAAAAAAAAAAAGACTTGCAGCCAGTTAGATGTTAACTGTATAATTCAGCAAATGGTGTCCACTGAACATTACCTTGTTGAATATTATGCACAGAGCCGGGCCAGGTCTTAGACTAAAGTGAAGGAGGAAGATAAAGCAGGTCCTTGAGACTTCAGGAGAACCTGGGTGAGCCAGCACTACTCTACCTGGTATAGGGAGGAATGCATGTGCCATTCTTTCCTATGGTTCAATGTTCATGTATATTTCTCTAAAGCAAAGACATTGGAGTGGAATTTGTACCCTGGATTGAAAATATGGAAAGAGCTACCAGCAGTAAGGAAGACCCAGTCCCCAGCATACATGGGATTAAAGGTAGGATCCAGTGGGAGAGTGGGATACCAATGGGTGATACCAGGTGCTGAGAAGCTAGAGAAGACATCGCCTTAGTCTCAGCCTTTCCTGAATTATGTGAGCGAGAAGAAAGATATAATATCAGTTTTCTGCTATTCATTTGTGTAGATTTAACTAGGCTTGAATTAAAATGAAGGGCAAATGTTTCACACTGAAAGTGACTCCCTCTTTGGAAAAGCTGTCCTCTTAAGGAAATGGTTGTGGGATAAGAGCATTGCCAGAATGTCTGTGCTTGGGAATAAAAACACCAGCTTGTGGCAACTTTATTTCTTGCTCTATACAAGATTTATGGATTTCACCTCCTCTCCAAACTTCCCATGGAAAGACTAGGAGCACTTGATCCAGGTGCTTCCCCATAAGACTTCAGCCCTGACTTCTTCGTGGGTCAGTTTTCTGGTGGCCAGAATTTGGTATGGGATCACAAAGAAAAACAAGTGTGGAAGCTTTTTTTACTTTATATTTTAATGACATAATAGGTTATGGTTTATGGGGTTCCAAATGTGCTCCTTTTGTCGTCATCTTGTCTTTCCCTGCCTGTTTAAATTGGAGATAACCTTTTCCAAAAGACCTTCTACTTTATGCTTTTACCACTGCCCATAATCAAAGTCTTGGGAATTCAGTATTTGAGATTTTGGTTTTGGACTATTATGTAATTAATTTGATGGGACATGAGGTATGTATTCAGGCCTACGATTTATATAGAAAAGGCCTCTGGAAGGAATTTTAGTTCAAAACACATTTATTGAGTGTCTACAAAGTACAAAAGTCATTGAAGAAACATACACAGATCCCACACCCCCACTCAGGGGCAAAGCTAACTTATGTTTCTTGGTCAGACTTCCAGACGTTTGGATGCTAATGAGCATGAAATGGCAAATTAACAGGAAGATGGTCACATAATAAGTAATTGGATGTGCAGTTTTGGTCAACAAATATTAATGGCAATGCCATTTAATAAAGCAGTGATTGTCAGGGCACCTGGGTGGCTTAGTCAGTTAAGTTTCTGACTCTTGATTTCGGTTCAGGTCATAATCTCAGGGTTATGAGATCGAGCCCTGCATTGGGCTCCATGCTGAGTGTGGAGTCTGCTTGGGATTCTCTCCCTCTGCCCCTCCCCTCTCTAAAATAAATAAATAAATAAAAATAAAACAGTGATCTTCAATTAGGGTATATATGTGTGATCTAAAATATTGTATTTGGAAAATACAGACCAGGAAAAGTGAGGCTTGAGAAAAATCTTGGCTGGTGAAAGTTCATAGACTATAATATAGTCCCTAAATTTGCTTTGCATGATAAGGCCTATCCCTCTATGGGATATAGCAGAATCTCTAGGAGGTGTGAAATTTTTATGTTTTGTTTTCCATGGGTATTTTGTAATGGCTTGTAAAAAAAACTTTTTAAAGAAAAGATAAAATCAGATTTTTATCTCCTACATAATTGGCTTTATCCCGCAATATTGTCTCTAATCAAGTCACATCCTGGCTTCCTTTTCTACTTTGAAAAGCTCAAAATGAAGGAAGACCCCTGATATTGGACCCCCTTTCAGCTGGGGCCCTACAGATGAGTAAAATGTGTGTTGAGAATTCCATTCCAGGTTATTTATTTAACAGGCAACTCTTCAGATTTTCAAGGACTATTAGAAAATTGAGCCTATCAACCTTATCTGGTCCTAAAGTATATTTTATTCTTGAAGCCTTTAACGCCTTTTTTCATGTGCCAAGAATCTCTTAAACAGATCTTTAAAAGCCCCTTTGCTTGAAGACATTGGCATACATTGGTCAACACAGTGGCATAATCTATAAATTTACAGACATGAGCCATTTGATAGAGTTATAACTCCTTCACCCAAAGCATAAGGATGTGGATTGTGCCGGTGCCCTTCTTTTTTTCCCTTCTGTCTATCCTGCTAATTCAAAGTGATCAGACTCAAAGGTGTGAGATGAGCAGAAGAATGGATAACATTTAGTTAAGTGTGTCTTAGTCTAGACTTGGCTGTAGACTGTTTATGTTTATGTTATCTGGTGCGTGCATGTATGCACTTCAGTGCTAGGAAAGCAGGCTGGTTTCAGAAGTCAGAAAGATACAAGGGAAAAACTGATGTCCATGTGAACTTAACGACTTTTTCACGAGTCAGTTTCACAAAAACCAGTCAGCTCTTCAGAAGATTGGCTGACACCTCAAAACAAAGCAAAAAAGACCCCAAAACAAGAAGCAAAACTCAAGAGTTACATTGTGAAAAGTAGTATGTTGTGCACTGACAGCACTGAATGCTGGTGATGACAGGAAGCAACAGGAACTCTCACTCACTGCTGGTGGCCATGCAAAATGGTATCGTTTGATAGTTTCTTACAAAAGCTAAAACTTGTTTTACCATACAGACCAGCAATCATATTCCCTAGTATTTACCCAAATGAATTGCAAAGTATGATATATCCATACGATGGGATATTACTCAGGAATAAAAAGAAATGAGCTATCAAGCCACAAAAAGACATAAGGAAACCAAAGTGACAAATTGCTAAACGAAAGAATCCTGTCTGAAAATACATACTGCATGATTCCAACTGTTTGACACTCTGGAGAAGACAAAACTATAGAGACAGTGGAAAGATCAGTGGTTACCAGGGATATGGGGAAGAGGGGAGGAGCAGACTGCACACAAGAGATTTTTAGGGCAGTGAAACTATTCTGTATGATATCGTAATGGTGGGTATAGGACATTGTGCACTTGTCAAAACCCACAGAACTGTCCAACACAAAGAGTAAACCCTGATGTAAACTATGGACTTCAGTTAATAATAATGCATCAGTACTGCTTCACTGTAAGGAACGTACCACACTAATGCAAGATGTTAATAATAGGAGATATTGTGTAGGGAGCCAATGGAGAGGGGCTATATGGAAACTCAGTATTTTCTGCTCAATTTTTCTGTAAACCTAAAACTGCTCTAAAAATAAAATCTGTTCATTTTTTAATTAAAAAAATCACACACGGTAGTGTCACAGGGGCTTTAGACACCTTGCCTACATCGTTTTTATCAGGTGCGTGCACCCACTGCCCAGCTGCTATGAGGTTAGCTGCTAACAGCTCTCGGTTGTGCCCTTCGGAGGAGTGCCCTCAGCTGACCAGAGCTGTCCAGCCAGGAAATGCCTGAGAGGTTATGGCCTCCCTCAAGGGCAGCTTATGGCCAGCCAGCCAATGGCTGACTGATTCGGGGTACAAAATGGGACGCCTGTGGTACCATCTATGGTCCAGGGTTTCCCAGGAGATCAGGCTGGCACTAGACTTGAGCAGAGCCCACTTCTTCCCTGCCCTGTCTTCTGTCCTCAGTGCTCTTACAGGTTTCCTCTGAAAGCCCTTTCTCCACCACTCGCTTGTGCAACCTGCTTCTGGGAAACTTGACCCAAGACAGTACCAAGAAAGGTCCTAGAAAGGATGGGATTCTGGTGTTATTAGGTCACTTGCTGGCCAGTGGCAACGAGGAGTCCGTTGCTGCTGGTTAGGTGGCGTGTGGAAAGCCCTGGGCCCTGGTTTGTGGTAGCAGTTCAGTTGCTAAGATCTTCACCTGTGGTGACACCTGGGGTCAGACACGGGGACAGGGATGCACCAGTTGGTGCAATGTCTCTAGGATTTGAGAAGTTTGGGGAAAATATGAAGTATCAGGACCACAGAATTGGGAGGCTATTGCTAAGCACCATGGATGTGCTGAAGAGAGTGAAGAAAGTGACAGCCTCAGATTAACCACCAATTTAAAGCCTCATGTGAGACTCAGAGGGCTTCCTTGCCAGTGTTCAGCCCCTCATCTTCTACAGCATGGCACTATGTGAGAGGATGAATTCTCAGCCTAGGCAAATGTGCTGCCTGATCATTTGGGGCTCCTAGTGCTAGTAGAAGAGCTGGCAGGTCATGCCCTGATAGGGAAGATGTGGGACCATAAAGCTTGAGATGAGGACATCTAGGTCTAGGCCCTTAATGCCCCTGGGCTGGTGTAAGTGGCCTACCCCCCCCCCTTGTTGGGAGAGAGACTCTTCTTCCCCCCAAATTATGCAGAAGCCTCAAATGAGATGTACATGACAATGCTTGCCCTTCTCAGGATGTGTCCCCACCTTCCTTCCAGAATAATAATTACCATCTAAATATAACAATGATCTGACTGGGGAAGAGGCACAGAGACCTAGAGACTTAAGCTCAAAATGTGAGGATCTTCGTACCGTGTTCACGCCCATCAGAGAACATTCATTGCAGAAAAGGTGCCTAACAGCTAAACCAACTGGATGACTTGGCCAGCAGGTGTCAGCTGGCTTTTTCCTTGGTACCCCAGTGCCTGCACAGTGGGCTCATAAGAGACACCTTCACAGCAGAGTGGGAGGCTATGCATGGGCCCAGCAGCGTGGGTTTCCTGTTGTCAAGACCGACATAGCTTCTGTCACTGCTGACAGTCAACTGGCCGGTACAGGTGGATGCTGAGCTCCCAGTTGGATAGTATCCCTTGAGGAGAACGGTCGATGTCATCAGACCCCCTCCAGGCTGGAAAGTACAGTAATTCACTCTGAGCAGGATTGACATGTGTGCCTTTCCTGCTCACAGTGCCTCCACTGTTCAAGGACTCATGTAGCATCTGATCAACCATAAAGCATTGCTTTAATGGAGAGACTTGGCCGTCGGCGTATGACCGCAGGACTGACCTACAGTCCTACCACACATCACCCCATTTAGAAGCTGCTGGTCTGATAGAGCCATGGAATAGCCTCCTGAAAGCAAGATGTGCAACAGTTTAGACATGGCACTGTGGGGTGGGGTGCTAGCCTTCAGGATGCAGTATATACCTTAAACCAATGCCATGTCATGGCACTGTGCCCTCAGTAAGCAGAATATATGAATCTGGGAGGCAAGAGGTTGAATGAGTTGTGACCTTATTCATTATCATGCTCTAGTGACTTGCATAGGACATTTGTCTTCCCCATCCCTGCAACGTTCGTTAGTCTCAGTGAGTCTAGAGGTCTTGGTTCCCAAGGGGGGAGTTTCCACCAGGGGACATAGTAAGAGTCCTACTTAACTTGAATCTATGCCCCCTGCTGCTGCAATTGGTTTTTAGGTTGTACCGTTGTTACCATCTCGCTCCCACTCATTCTAGATACCCCTCCTTCTCATCTTCTGCTGGTAGTGTGCCCAGGGGGTGTCCCGGACTCTTGTCTGGCTACTTCTTTTACTTGCCCATTTACAGTTACAGCTGGGTGTGGAGGTGTTGGGGGATGTCCCAGTGGGTCACCTGAGCATCTGGGCACATTCCTCTCTGATGCTGTTAGGTAACAGCCTAAGCTCCTCATGAGGACTAGGATCAATTGCTTCCTCCAGCGTGGCAACTGCTTTTTTTGCCTGTATGTCTAGTGGATGCAGTGTTGGGACCCCTCACGATGAGGATGGAGTGGTGGGACCCCTCACGATAAGGATGCAGTGGTGGGACCCCTCACGATGAGAATTAAATGAGATGAAGCTTTCAGACTAGTGCCTAGATGGCTGTTTGCATATTATCATTAGCAGCTAGTTACCCACATTTGTTCCTCCAGGGAAGGAAAGGAAAGGCTTACCCATAATTTAAAGGCATGTCTCCACCCCACTGCACCCCCCGCTCCCCCGGCTTGTGCGCGTGAGCCCACGCCCTCTCTCTCTCAAAAAATAATAAATCTTTTTTAAAGTTTTGCATATTGTAAGGAATAGAGAAAAGCCTAGTTTGAAAGAAAAATAAAAATAGTTTGCCCATTTGAAATCTGAGCGGTAAGGAATGGGTGGCCTCCGAACAAGTGAGCTCTACGGTGGTCCTGTTATTCCATCTAGTGGACAGCACGGGAAAGGCATGATTTTATCTTCAAAGGTGGTAATTTACCAAAAACATGTATCCTGATAAAAACTCACGGATTCACTTGTTAATAAGTTTCATTCAATTTTTAAACCAAAATGAAAGATCAGAATTCCAACACTAAGTTTGGAAACTAAATTCCCAAAGCCATTTAGGATTTATGTCATGTATGCTAGAAAGATCATCCACCGAAGGAAAAGAGAATATACACCAGTTCTTACTAGCATGAATTTTCACAGCCCACCTTTCCCATTCTTCTTATCCTTCTCCACCAACATTTTTATGTTTATTCTGGTACATGGACTGGGAGTGCCCCCAAGACTCAAAGTATATCTTCCCAACACACCACTAGACCTTGACTGGTACCAGAGCCATTCTGCTCATTTTCCAAGAATGCAACTATCACTTAAAATTTTGCTGTAATCAAATTGAATATTTTTCAAGGACCTTTGTGTTTGGTTTTGTTTTTCGTGTGTGTGTGTGTGTGCGCGCGCGCGCACGTGCATGCTCTGTTTCCTTTTACAGCCATTTATTACCTTTATAATTTGTTTCCTCTTCCAGATATTTATGAGGGTGAAGATAATGGCAAACAAATCTCCCCCAAATGTGAGTAATAATAGGATACTTGGAGTACCCACAGCTGTTCTGAAACCTTTAGTATTATTGTAATCACTATTAACAATAATAACAGGTGTTATTTATTAAATTCCTAAGATGTACCATTTTACTTTATAAGCGCTTTTGCTAATCTTTATATCAAAACTGCAATAGATATTAATATCCCCATTGTTATAGACAAGCAAACTGGTGCTCCCAGAGGCTAAGTGGCTTACGCAAGTGCGCGACAAACTCAGAACTGTGCTCAGGTCGCACTGACCCCGAAGCCTCTGCTCCTACCCTTGGACAATGGGCCTTTCATTTATTCACTCATGGGATCTGCCAGACCCTGAGCCCAAGATTCTGGGGTCTCCTGAGTGCTGTCACCTCTATAGGACCTAAGACTTAGTCCCTAAGGCCCCTAAGGGCCCATGGCCAGTGAATCCAGGAGGAAGGGAGTCAATATGCAAATGACAAAGATGCAGCAGACTCAGACTGGGAGCTGCGCTTTCGTCCCCTGCACTTCCAGCTTGGACTGACGGCCGTTCTCCAAGGTTTGCTGGTTCTGCGAATTTGGAGTCTCTTCCAAGAGCCCGGGGCGATACCGGGTGAATAGGGTATGGTCTCTGCTGCCAAGAGCCCCGGGACCCTCGGGGGAGACATAGGAGGGCTCACCCGGGGCAGCTGCAATTTGTGTCCCTTCAAGGGTCTTATGAGGTGATTGTGGGTGAGCCCACCACCTCCACAGCCCCTCTCCTCCTCTGTCTCCCAGAATAGAATGGGCTAGAATAGAACACAACAGAATAAAGTAGGACAGAACAAAAGAATAGAACAGAACAGATCAGGTGAGGATATCACACCCTGTAAGGGGAATATTGTTCCATAAACTTGTTTTCATTTTAGAGCTTTATTATGTGTATACACTGTGTTGGGTGTAAAACGGGCATCTCTCTGCGGCTGCACCCTAAGGAATATAGACAACTTTGGTCTAGGCTAACTGGGGGCCTGGGGGATCCCAGGCATCCCCCACCCTCACCTGTGGTACCGGGAATGAAGGAGGCCATGTGTGGTGACAGTCCCCAGCAGGGAGGTGGCATTTGGGTATTGTCAGCGCTGGGAAGATCATTTCTCTTCCCAGGCTCAGGCAGATCCCCCCTGAAGGCAGGGAAAGGCCCGGATGACCTTGAAATAATGCAGTCAACCTGTGGCCAACCTGTGTGGCAGCCCTGTGCCGGGCTGAGGGTCCCCTCCCCCTCCGGCTGGGCCCACAGGAGAGGGGCAAGCCGCCACGGGTGCCTGGTCATCATTTTATGCCAGGTGCCACTTCCCTGCGGAGCGGCCGCAACTGGCTGTCAGGTCTCTCAGTTCCTGCACTGCCCCCCAGCCCTGCTGCCCCCGGGCCCGGAGGGCTCCTTGGCTGCCAGAGGCCTCAGGGCCAGGCCCCACCCCTGGCCTCCCCCCCCCCCCCCCGCTTTGTCTGGGGCACTGAGGCCATGGCCCCCAGAGGAGCAGCCCTTCTGTTCACACAGCGCTGTCGGGGGCAGGGGGGTGAGGAGGGGGTGGACTTTACCTCCAACACAGTGTACATCTCTAAAATGAAAACAAGTTCATGGAACAATAGTCCCCTTATAAGTATGATGTCCTCATCTGATCTGATCTGTTCTATTCTGTTCTTTTGTTCTCTTCTGCTTTATTCTATTGTGTTCTATTCTTTTTTTTAAAGATTTTATTTATTTGAGAGAGAGAGAGAGCAAAGGAGGGGGAGGGGCGAGGGAGAGGGAGAGGCAGACTCCTCCTCCCCCCCCCCCCCCCCCGCTGAGCAGGGAGCCTGACCAGGGAGCCTGACCTTGCAGGGCAAGGTCTCCGTTTCCTGCCTTACAGCCTTTCAGCAAGACTGCCAATCCTCATCCTCACTGTCTGCTCCCCGGTGTAAGGGGGTGTGGCTTGGATGACTGCCCGAGAGACGAGTCTCTGGGTGTTACTGTGGATGTCCCCGAGTCCCATCGGGAGGGGGGCAGTGGGAGGCACCTCCCTGAGCCAGTTTTTCCTCCGCCCTCCACCCCTCACCCGACCAGGTCCTGGGACTGGAAATTAAACCAGGTTTGCTGCCATCTGAGAGCACTCTGTCCAGCTGCCTTACAACCCTGCAGCATCAGGCAGGGTCCCTGGAGGCCTCTGGGAAGGGGCTGCCTGGCTGCTCCCTGTTTTCCTTGCACAGCCCCCACTGATCTGCTCTGGGGAGAGCCCTTGGCCCCAGAAGGCCAGCTTGGGAGGCCTCTGGGCAGCAGGTCACGGGTGTTCCCACATGCGTGCTTCCGGCTCACTGCTATAACTCTGCCATCACCCCCAACTGTAGGCTCCTCTGGGATTCCTGTGTCCAGAAAGTCCTTGCCCCCCCATGCCCTGCATATGCCCTTCAAGGCCTCACCCCAACCCTGCCCTTGAATTGTCACCTGAACAGAAACTTCGTCCTGCACTCAGATTCCTGCGGGACTGATTACTCAGCTGCAGCTCAGCCACTCAGCCAACGGAACTTGGTCAAGTGATTATTCCTCTCTCATCTCAGTTTCTCATCTGTATAATGAAGCTAAAGCTCTTACAGGGTTATATGAAGCTTACCTTTTGACCAACTGGCACCCCAGCAGGCACAAAGCAGGGCTCAGTGTCTGGTGGAGGTTGCTAGCATGACTGGCCAGTTAATGAATCAATTCACTGGAAAGACAGGCAGGATGTACTTGCTCCTCTGATTTCCCATGGGGAGAGCGGTGACAGAGGCTACCAAGGGAATGGGAGATGGGCCGTAATCAGGGGAGAAAAAAGAGGGCAAGGGGAAAAGAAGGGAGGGAAGAAGGGTGGAGGGCAGGAAGGTCGTCAAGCACAAAAAGACAACCATTTTCTTGGAGGACAAGGAATAGAGCTATGAACACCATGTAGACATGTCTTCTCAGTCACAGTTACAGAATTTTGAGCTGGAAAAGGGAACCTGGAGATCACAGACCTCCACCTCCCCCGAGGTGAGGCAGTTCAGGTCCTGGGAGAGTAGGAGTTAGAGATGGGGGAGAATGGGTTCTTGGGGACAGGCACTGCCTGGGACATCTGGCCATCCCCTCTCCAGCACAGCAGGCCAAATTCTTCCCTTTCTTTCTCCAAGGCTGCTCCAGCAGAGAGTTTATCTCCATGGCAACCTCTGAGGAGCCTGAAGGTGCAGAAGAAATGGAAAAGGAGAGCAGTGCTCTGAGTGTAATTTATTTTCTTCTTACCTCTTTCATTTTTCTCCCTCATTCCTATTCATCAGCTTCTCCTGCCTCTTCCTCTCCCCGTTTCTCTCTCTCCCCTTTCCCTCTCCCCCCTTTCATGATTCTCACCCAGAAGGACCAGACCTAATCCAGGAAGCTGAGGTCACTGGATCTGCTAAGTGCCTCAGACCCTCCCAGCATAGCATGGCCCCTGTCTCCTTAGCAAAGCACTGGTTTCTGGTCATAAATATGGGGCTCCTGCTGGGATCCCGAGTGACCCCGTTTGAGAGCTAGGGTGGGCCCCAACCTGCCAGCGGGAATCACCGGTTGCGCCTGGCCCGGGCACTCCTCGGCACTGCCAACTCTTGAGGGTGCACCACTGTCCTCTCCCTTATAGCTATCCGGACTTTTCCAGTTGGACGACAGTTATGAAACGTGTTCCTCCAAATCTGTCCTGGAAACGGGAGAAAGCATCCAGGGTAAGAAAGAAGGTGGCGACGAGGACCTGTGAGTGTGAAAGAGGAAAGAACAGTGAGCGAATTGGTTAGCCATTGCTCCCCTGACTCTCCTTGGAATTTCAGGACGACAAACAAAACTAATAAGCCAGTGTGCACCGGCTTGCTCGCCCCTGGGGGGGAGACGACTAATCTGCGGGCAAAAGCAGGGCGGGCGCGGGAAGGATGCCGCAGGACCCTCTTCCCCAGGGAACTGACACTGGTTCCAGACCGCAGCGGCTCCCGGCTCGGCCGAGCCGCCCCAGGCCGCCTTCGATCCGGGCACAGGCTGCGGCGGGCGCTGGGGGCCGAGCCCACCCTTAACTAGAACGCGGCCAAGGGGCCTCGGACCCTCCGAATCTGCCACCCTGGCGCGGGGGGAAGGGCCAGCATCACCTTCCGGAAGCCCGAGGAAGGGTCCGCCGCCTGCCGGCGGAGCCCATTCTCCCGGCGCCGGCGGCGGCGAACCTGGGAACTGCTCCCCACGCGCCTGCGCGAGCTCCGGGCTTTGGGAGCCGACGTCCGCCACCTCCCGGGCGGCCCCACACGCGCCTGCGCCGGCGCCGGGACTGGCAGACGCCCGCGACCCCCCGGGCTGCTCTACGCGCATCTGCAGAGGTTAGCGGAGGCCAGTCCTGGAGGGCTCTGCCCAAGGTTGGCACTCTGACTTTGGGGGCTGGATAATTCTTTGTTGGGGAGGGGAGAGCTGTCTAGTGCATTGTAGGGTATTTGGCAGCATCCCTGGCCTCTTCCCACCCACAAGATGCCAGTAAAATCCCTTTCCCACCCGCTCACCCAAATTATGACAATCTTTTTAAAAATGCCTTCAGACATTGCCAAATTTTTCCTCGGGTGGGAGTGGGGAGGTCTGTTGAGAATCTCCCATCCGAACCTCGGAGGAGCCGAAACTCTGCAGGGGCGGCCCTGTGCTCTTCTCCTTGAATCCCCACAAGAATGTTCCTGTGGTGTTTGTGTTACTTTGTTCCAGGATTGTATCCTTTCAGAGGGTTGGTTCCAAGTTAATGTCTGAGGTATTTCGTTTTAGATTTATTGGTTTTAAAATTAGTTTGTTATCTTTAGCTGTTTTTTATTTTTCGTTTTGTTAGTTATTTTTTAGTTAATTTCTATTTTTAGTTTTCTAGTTATTTAATTTTATAGCTTTAAGGTTACTTTATTTATAAATATTGTTTTCAAGGTTATTTCGTTTTTGAGTTATTCATTTTCAGTTTCTTATTTACAGTTACTTTTAGTTAATACATTTCCAAATTAGCTTTAGAATTATTTTAAATTATCTTTACAATTATTAATATCTGAGTTATTTACTTTTATAGTTATTCTGTTTTTTAGTTATTGGAGTTTTTTGAGTTATTTATTTTTACAGTTACTTATTTGCCTACTAAAAATTCACTGGAAGTTTTAAAACTATTTTAGAATTATTTTCAGGATAAAGTGTTTTTAGTTATTTTAGAGTTTTTTCCCCTTGTTAATTTTAGAGTTTCTTATAGTCACAGTTATTTATTTTTAGTTATTTTAGATTTGGGGTTGTTTATATTCATTTATTATCTTTTAGTTTTTTGGTTTTAAGTTATTTTCAATTGTTGCATTTTTGAGCATTATATTTCCTGAATTTTTTATTTTCAGAGTTTTTGAGAGATTTAGTTTTGAGTTATTTTTGGTTATTCTCAATTATTACTTTTCATTTACATCTTTGCCACTTAAAATTTTTTTCTGTTCTGTATTTTTACTTATTTCATTTTCAGATTTATTTTCAGAATTATTTAGTGTTAGAATCACTTAGTCTAGGGGATCCAAACAAGAGAGAGAGACAACATCAGTAATTTTAACAGAGAGAATTCAGTATAAAGAATTGTTATCCAGCTATTGGAAATTTTAAGAGGAAAAAAAGTGATAAGGTGATATCATGGAGATGGTAACTGCAAGACGCAGCTACCAAGGGCTGAGGGAGCAAAGGGAGGAGGTTGGAGGTAGCCCTGCAGAGCTGGGCTTAGCCCTCTGAGGAGGAAGTGTTGCTTGATAGGACAGGTGTCCCAGGAGCTGGAAGTTGGTCTGGGAGCTGCCAGCTTGGTGCTGGTATCTTTGAAGCAGGGGGGTGGGGGTGATGAGGCTGGTTACGGAGGTGTTGGGAAAATGGCCAACTGCAGCTACTGGAATCAGCTGTTGTTCTCAGGGTGCAGACTGGTTGCTAGGAGGATGCTGACAGGAACTCAGGCACACAGAGGTCCCCTGCTCCCCTCTTACAGCCTCTGGTCAGTCTGCTCTATTGGCCGAGCCTGACAGAGAGTAGCTGGCAAAGGAGGTGAGTGGCCCCAGGCCCCAAAGCAGAGATTAGAAGGGTGGGCTGAAAGCTGAGAAATCTTGGCTAATAACCAGCACACTGACCTCTGGAGTTGTTTACTTTTAGAGTTAGTTTTGGATTTAGTTAGTTTTGGAATTGTTAGCGTGATTTGATTTTAACTTTTCACTGGACGTGGGATCTGGCTAAGTTTTTGATTCCCAGATTTGTTTCTGGAATGCAGTGGGAACTTCTTAAACACCTGAGGACTGTCTCCCATGTGACTCAAGAAAATCACTTCAGAATCAAGAAAACAAAAATAAGTATCTCACTTTGTTCATAAAGAAGCCCTTTGACTTTGTGGCCAAAAAAGGGCAGAGACTAAGGGACAGACCATCAGGGAGAGGCTCTTCGGCAAAATTGTCCAACAGGGTGTTCTTTGAAATTTTTCAGAAAGTTATGTTGTGGAGCTACCCTCTTGTGCCCCTTTCCTAACAACAAAGTATCATTCTCAGTGGAGTGTGTTTCACATTTGTAGACTACAATATTGATTATTTGAACACTAAAAATAAAGTTCTTTCCAAATCCATAGGAAATCTTATCTCCTTCTACTTGCATTTTTTTCCAACACACATTATTCCATTCTGGCCATAAAACATTTATTTGGTTGTTTATTTGTTCATTCTAATCAATACCTATTTCCTGAGCACTCCTGTCCTCAGGAAGGTGCTGGCATCAGGAGAGACCAGGAAGGCATGACGATGAGTGAGAAGCTCTCAGTACAGTTGGGAGAGACAGATGAGGAAACAGATCATCACAACACAATATGACAAATACTATGGGGGCACGGAATCCTGCCACTGATTTCTGATGTCATCAGGGATGGCGTGACATCTGGGCTAGGTCTCCTGGAGCAGGTGTTTTCTCCAGGTGGAGAAGGAGAAGGACATCCTGGTCGTGCACAGGCACAGAGGCATGGAGGAGCTATGCATGGCAGGGAGGATGCATTGACAGAGGCCACTGGGCCACAGGATTCAGAAAGGTACTAGCATTAGGGCTGGCCAAGCACTGGCCCTGGTGCTTGACAGATAGGACTTCATTTGGTCCTCACAGCCAGTTTGAAAAAGAGTAGGAAGCAACCTCAAGAGTCAATGCTCTTCCTAAATAGAAAACCTGAACAGACCCATAACCACTAAGGAAATTGAAGCAGTAATCAAAAATCTCCCAACAAACAAGAGCCCAGGGCCAGATGGCTTCCCAGGGGAATTCTACCAAACATTTAAAGAAGAATTAATACCTATTCTTCTGAAGCTGTTTCGAAGAATAGAAATGAAAGGAAAACTTCCAAACTCATTTTACAAGGCCACCATTACATTGATCCCAAAACCAAAGACCCCATCAAAAAGGAGAATTACAGACCAATATCCTTGATGAACATGGATGCAAAAATTCTCACCAAAATACTAGCCAATAGGATCCAACAGTACATTAAAAGGATTGTTCACCACAACCAAGTGGGATTTATTCCTGGGCTGCAAGGTTGGTTCAACATCTGCAAATCAATCAACGTGATACAATACATTAATAAAAGAACAAGAACCATATGATCCTCTCAATAGATGCAGAAAAAGCATTTGACAAAGTACAGCAAGCTTTCTTGATTGAAACTCTTCACAGTGTAGGGATAGAGGGTACATACCTCAATATCATAAAAGCCATCTATGAAAAACCTACAGCAAATATCATTCTCAATGGGCAAAAACTGAGAGCTTTCCCCCTAAGGTCAGGAACACAGCAGGCATGTCCACTATCACCACTGCTATTCAACATAGTATTAGAAGTCCTAGCCACAGCCATCAGACAACAGAAAGAAATAAAGGCATCTGAATAGGCAAAGAAGAAGTGAAACTCTCACTCTTTGCAGATGATATGTACTTTATGTGGAAAACCCAAAAGACTCCACCCCAAAACTGCTAGAACTCATACAGGAATTCACTAAAGTGGCAGGATATAAAATCAATGCACAGAAATCAGCTGCATTTATATACATCAACAACGAGACAAGAAAGAGAAATTAAGGAGTCGATCCCATTTACAATTGCACCCAAAACCATAAGATACCTAGGAATAAATCTAACCAAAGAGGCAAAGAATCTGTATTCAGAAAACTATAGAATACTCATGAAAGAAATTGAGGAAGACAAAAAGAAATGGAAAAATGTTCCATACTCCTGGAGTGGAAGAACAAATATTGTGAAAATGTCCATGCTACCTAGAGCAATCTACACATTATGCAATCCCTATCAAAATACCATCCACTTTTTTCAAAGAAATGGAACAAATAATCCTAAAATTTGTATGGAACCAGAAAAGACCCCGAATAGCTAGAGGAATGCTCAAAAGAAAAGCAAAGCCAGTGGCACCACAATTCCAGACTTCAAGCTCTATTACAAAGCTGTCATCATCAAGACAGTATGGTACTGGCACAAAAACAGACACATAGATCAATGGAACAGAATAGAGAGCTCAGAAATGGACCCTCAACTCCGTGGTCAACTAATCTTCGACAAAGCAGGAAAGAATGTCCAATGGAAAAAAGACAGTCTCTTCAACAAATGATGTTGAGAAAATTGGATAGCCACATGCAGAAGGATGAAACTGGACCATTTCCTTACACCACACACAAAAATAAACTCAAAATGGATGAAAGACCTAAATGTGAGACAGGAATCCATCAAAATCCTTGAGGAGAACACAGACAGCAACCTCTTTGACCCCAGCCACAGCAACTTCTTCCTAGAAACATTGCCGGAGGTAAGGGAAGCAAGGGCAAAAATGAACTACTGGGACTTCATCAAGATAAAAAGCTTTTGCACAGTAAAGGAAACAGTCAACAAAACCAAAAGACAACCAACAGAATGGGAGAAGATACTTGCAGATGACATATCAGATAAAGGACTAGTATCCAAAATCTATAAAGAACTTATCAAACTCAACACCCAAAGAACAAATAATCCAATCAAGAAATGGGCAGAAGACATGAACAGACATTTCTGTAGAGAAGACATCCAAATGGCCAACAGACACATGATAAAGTGCTCAACATCACTCAGCATCAGGGAAATACAAATCAAAACCTCAATGAGATACCACCTCACACCAGTCAGAATGGCTAAAATTAACAAGTCAGGAAAAGACAGATGTTGGCGAGGATGTGGACAAAGGGGAACCCTCCTACACTGTTGGTGGGAATGCAAGCTGGTGCAGCCACTCTGGAAAACAGTATGGAGGTTCCTCAAAAAGTTGAAAATAGAGCTACCCTATGACCCAGCAATTGCACAACTGGGTATTTACCCCAAAGATACAAATGAAGTGATCCAAAGGGGCATGTGCACTCCAATGTTTATAGCAGCAATGTCCACAATAGCCAAACTATGGAAAGAGCCAAGATGTTCATCACAGATGAATGGATAAAGAAGATGTGAGATAGATAGATATATATATATATATATACACACACACAATGGAATATTATGCAGCTATAAAAAAAACCCGAAATCTTGCCATTTGCAACGACGTGGATGGAACTAGAGGGTATTATGCAAAATAAGTCAATCAGAGAAAGACAGGTATCATATGATCTCACTGATATGAGGAATTTGAGAAACAAGACAGAGGATCATAGGGGAAGGGAGGGAAAAATGAAACAAGATGAAACCAGAGAGGGAGACAAACCATAAGAGACTCTTAATCTCAGGAAACAAACTGAGGGTTGCTGGAATGGAGGGGGCGGGGAGGGATGGGGTGGCTGGGTGATGGACATTGGGGAGGGTGAGTACTATGGTGAGTGCTGTGAATTGTGTAAGACTGATGAATCACAGACCTGTACCCCTGAAACAAATAATACATTATATGTTAATAAAATTTTTTTTTTTAAAGAGTCAATGCTCTTCCTGGTCTTACTGTTCCAATCACAGCCTAGAAGTTCCTTTGACTTGTCATTTCTGGAATTCTTCAGCTCATTTCTGGCTTTATCCTTGGCCCATTCACTCCTCCCCACCTACCCTTGGAGGTGAGTCTCTCCCTCCTCTATCTTTTGATTCCTGTTTCTTAAACATCTGTGGGGAAGGAGGAGGGTTGAGACCAGCCAGCTGTGGGGTACAGGTGAGGCCAGCTGCAGAGGAGGTAGACAAGAGCAGAGGAGAGCCCCTGGGGGGGTCTCTTCGGCGAGTTCTGCAGACCAGCATGGTGAGAACTGAGCTCTTGGTGAACCAATCATAACCTGCAACTGCGAACAACACCCCTTGAAAGTTTGTGGGGATGCCTTCCCAAAGCGGGGAACCTGCTTTAGATCCAGTCCAAGCTTGTGAATCAACAGATTGGGATTTTTAAAAGCACACAGAGCCCTTTGCTGCATTAACAGCACTGGACATGTCTACCCAGTCAAAAGAAAGTATAGTCCTTCACAATCTATGATGGCATATTTTCACACTTTTTTTAATAGAACACATTCGTTCAGTCAATCTTGAATATGTTTCTCAGCATACTTCTCTGCTTTGGTCTCTCTGGTCATTTTATCAAGCACTGTATACATTTCTCAATGAGAATATGTAAGTACTGGGGCTGGACAGAAGAATCTCTGGATTCTGACTATTAGAATTGTCAGAAAACACATCACTTGGATCCTCTTAAACACTCTGACCATTGACTAGCCACGTGTCCACTACAGAAACAGCCCAAAGCTTTCTCAATCCTTTGGACGTCAGTCATTTTCTGAAACTACAAAACCAGCCACACTCGTGGTGCTGGCAGAGTGCAAAGTGCCCCAACCCCCCCAGCCCTCACATGAGGAGCGTCTCCACAAATCTTGGATCACAGGTGGGTAACCTGAGAAACCATTTCAGGACCAGTCATCGTTGCTGATGCTGTCCCCAGGTGCTCTTTGGTAGCCCCCTCTGACCTTCCACTCTGGCTCCTTTGGCTAAGCCCCACACTGCCGCTCGGCTTATAGGTGTCCTCTGAGAGAAACAAGAAAACAAAATAAAGGATGGCTTTTACGTGAATGAAACTTATGTCATCTTTCTATTTGAGGAAATGGAAAAGAATTAAAAACCATCAGATAAAATCTTCCAGCCAGTTATTCAAGTCAGCCATAGCTTTATAGAGTTGCCTGTTGCCCACTAGAGGGACTCGTTTCAACGTGTCGCTGAGGACCGGGCATGCTGCAGCCGCACAACAAGGTGCCCTGACTGAAACCAGCCCTGGATCTGTGAAAGATGGCTAGAGTCTGGAGTCCACACTGAACACCCGCCATGCCTTATGAAATAATTAGTAAGTTAGAGATCCTCTAAATCAGCATTTCCCAGAGTATATTTTGCAAAATAGGCAGAAGAGTTTAAGAGTTCAATGAGTTAATCCCAAGTTGAAAAAAAATTTTTTTAATATATTTTTTAAATACTATGTATTCTATTTCTCATTTGGTTGATCCCAGTTAGTGAATTAAAGGATCTGAGAACTCTTTCATGAAGGAAGTCTGTATTTTTTTGTTCAACTCATGATTTCCCAAACCTGTTTGACCACAGGATCCTTTTCTTTGTGGAATATAACATTCCTTGTACATTCGTAAGGGGGAAGCTGCTGTAACAGAGATCCATCCGTATAGTGCCTTAAAGAATATTTCTGTCTCACAGAACAGCCTGGGTTGTGTATGCAGCCTGCTCTGCTCCACACAGTCATTGGGTGTCCCAGGTTCTGGTTTTTCCACCATCCTCTAGAACTTTGTCCTTGTATATGACCGAAAGCATGTCTCAGGAATGCCCAGTTTCCAGCTTGCAGGAAGGAGAAAGAACTTGGAAGATTACAATGTTTTAAGGCCTAGCCTACAAATGTCACACAATAAACACTTACACCTTTAGGGGGCTGGTAAATCCAATTGCAGCTCAGGAAAGACAACAGAATAAAAACCAAATCTCTGATCCTGGAGGAGAGGCAGGAATATGTGCCAGGCCCAGAGATGCTGGGGGAGGAGGTACTGTGAAGACCACACACAACCTCCCACCCCAAGACCTGGGGGCATAGTGCCTGCATGACTGAGACACAATCAGAACCGAGCAATCATGCTTCAGCCCCAGGCCAACTGACAAGCATTAGGCAACAATAGTGGGCTACTGTAGGGAGAGCCACAGTGCATGCTGGGAGGCTGTCTGACAGACACCAGGGAAGACCTAAATTGAGGATGGAGCAGACACTGAGGAAAACATTTGGGCAAACAAGTCCATACCCTAAACACAGGTAACCCTTGAGGAGTTGGAAGTGTGTGGTGTACCTAAGGGTAAGTATAGCAACAAGAAACCAAAGATCTACAAGGAATGAAGACTGCAAGAAATCATAATCACATGAGTAAGTGCAAAAGCTTTTTCCCCCTATTATTTATATCTCTAAAAAGATAATGGATTGTTTAAATAGAAAATAACAACAATATGTTGTGGAATGTATAATAAATGCAGAATTAAAATGTATGACAACAACAGAACTGAAGCCAAGAGGGAAGAAATTGAAGTACACTGTTGTAAGTTTCCTGTATTATATGTGAAGTGTTATTGAATCATTTGAAGGTACATTGTGATACCTTAAAGTTATATACTATAAACTCTAAAGCAAACACTAAAATAACACGCAGAGTTATAACAAATAAGCCAACAAATGAGATAAAATGGAATTTTAAAAATGCAACTAATCCAAGAGTTGGTAGAGAAAGAGGAGAAATGAAACCAAGAACAGATAGGAAAAATAGAAAACAATTGCCAAGATGGTAGATAGAAACATAACCAATCATATGATATAAACACCTCAATGAAAAAGGAGAGATTGTCAAATGGATATTTAAAAAAAAAAGACCAACCCTGTGGCCTGCTTTAACAAACCCACTTTAAGTATTGTTGGATTAATCAAACAAGGAGGCCATCAGCCTGAGGTGGCTTTAGTGCCTGAGTAGCTTAAGCAAGGAAACCAAAACCTATGCCTATAATGCTTCAAGGTTAGGAAACTGAAACCTAAGTACAACCAATCACAAACAGCCACCTAGATTTTCTCAAAGAATGCAACCACTTAGGCTATAGCCAATCAAATAATTTCCTTGCTTTGTTTCCACCTCTTCTCTATAAAAGTCTTTCCACTAACTCCTGAAAGTGGAGTGTTCCTAATCACTTCTGGTTTGGCATTACCCTATTTGAATTGATTTTTACTCAAATAAACAAAAATTTTAATATGCCTCAGTTTATCTGTTAACAGTATAAAGACACAAATAGATGAAACGCAAAAGAATGGAAAAAGATATACCATGCTAACACTAATCAAAAAAAAAAAAAAAAAAAAAGCCAGAATGACTATGTTAATATAAAACAAAGTGGGTCTCAGAATAAAAAATATGACCAAAATAAAGATCATTAAAAAATGATAAAATAGCTAATCCATCAAGAGGATATAGCAATCCTAACTGTTTACACATCAATAACAGAGCTTCAGAATACACAAAGCAAAAACAGAACTGCAAAGAGAATAAACAAATCCATAATTATAGTTTGATATTTCAACTCCTCTCTTGCAAGAATTGATAAAATAATAGAAAAATGGAAGAATATAGAACACTTGAATAACACTATCAACCAACTTAACCTAATTAACATTTATAGAACACTGAATCCAACAACAAAAGAATATAAACATTGCTCTTAAGGGCACACAGACAGACCATTGTTATGGGCTGAATTGTGTTGTCTCCTCTCTACCCCACCCCCTCCATGTTGTGTTGGCCTTAGTCTATTGATAGTGATACTATGGGCTAGAAATGCCTGAGGCGCCCACCTGGGCCATATTACTCATAGAGAGCCCCCACAGACATATCTCTCCATAGGGTCAATGTTGTGACTGGACAGGCCCTTCTGGTTCTTTTTTTTTTTTTTTTTAAGATTTTATTTATTTATTTGACAAAGACAGAGACAGCGAGAGCAGGAACACAAGCAGGGGGAGTGGGAAAGGGAGAAGCAGGCTTCCTGCTGAGCCGGGAGCCCGATGTGGGACTCGATCCCAGGACCCTGGGATCATGACCTGAGCCGAAGGCAGTCGCTTAACCAACTGAGCCACCCAGGCGCCCAAGCCCTTCTGGTTCTTATTATGACTATAAGAAGCACTTCAGCAAGAAACCATTAGGGAACTTTGAGGAACAAGATCTATTACTCGCAAGTCCTGGAGGATACATGGTATATCTGAGAGCCACAAAGTGAGGTAATGGGTAGAGAGAGGCAGAGAGCGCAAATCTGGGGCTCTGCTTTGATTAGGGTCCAAGGCTAGAGTGTCTAGATTCACTCTTTATTAGCTAATTTTAAGCATAAGAGAGATAATTAGGGAATAGGAAGGGAGAAAGCAAAAGAATGTTGAAGAAGAACCAAAGTTGGAGGGCTAACAATACCTGATTTCAAGGTTTATCATAAAGCTACAGAAATCAAGGCAATTTGATCTTGACATAAAGACAGAAAATCATATCAATGGAACAGATACATATGGACAACTGATATTCAACAAAACTGCAAAGGCAATAGAGTGAAGAAAGGATAATCTTTTCAATAATTGGTGCTGGAACAACCAGTTTTCTATACGCAAAGCAATGAACTTACATCCACATCTCAAACCATATGCAACCCTCAATAAGATTAATAGTTTTCTCATCAGAAATCACTGAGGCCAGAAGGTAGTGAGATGATATATTTAAAGTGCTAAAAGAAAAAGACTGTCAACTAAAAATTCTATATCCACAAAACTATTCTTCAAACCTGAAGGAGAAATTAAGACATGCCAGATAAACGAAAAATGAGATAACTTATCACTAGCAAACCTGCCCTACAAGAAATAGGAAAAGGTTCTTTGGGCAGAAATGAAAGATTACTAGACAGTAACTCAAATCCACATGAAGGAAGTACCAGTAAATGTAACTCCATAGGTAAATATAAAAAACATAATAAATATACCTTTTTGTTTGTCTTAGCTCTGGCTGCTCTAACAAATTGCCATAGACTGGATGGCTTAAACAACAGATTTATTTATCAGTTTTGAAGGCTGGGGAGTCTGAGATCAGGCAGCCAGCATGATTGGGTTCTGGTGAGGCCCTGCTTCCTGACTTGTAAAAACAGCTAGCTGCCTTCTTGCTCAATTTTCACATGGTAAAGAGCGGAGAGAGGGCTAGCCTTCTTCCTCTTCTTGTAAGGACTCTAATCCTATCATGGGGGTTCCCACCATTGTGATCTATAATTACTTCTCAAAATCCCCACCTCCAAATACCATCACATTAGGCCTTCAGTATATGAATTGGGGGGGAACACAAACATTTAGTTTATACCATTGTTTGCAATTCTTTTATCTGATGCAAAAGACAACTGCATAAAGCAGTTATTATAAACCCATGATGATGGATGTACAATGTATAAAGAAATAATTCATATGGCAATAACAGCAAAAAGTGGGGGGGCAGGCAGTGGAGCTATATAGAAGTAAAGTTTTTATATGCTATTGAAATTAAGGTGGTATTCGTACTACAGGCTGAGATGTTCACTATAGTCTTCAGGGCAACTACTAAGAAAGTAACTTTAAAAATATGGTAAATAGGACAAGGGAATTACAAATGTACACCAGAAAATATCTATTTAATCCATAAGAAGACAATAATGAAGGAGTGGAGGAACAAAAAAAGACATAGAAAACAAAGAGCAGGGGCGCCTGGGTGGCTCAGTCAGTTAAGCATCTGCCTTTAGCTCAGGTCATGATCCTAGGGTCCTGGGATCAAGCCTGGCATCAGGCTCCCTGCTCAGTGGGGAGCCTGCTTCTCCCTCTCCCTCTGCTGCTGCCCCCACTCGTGCTCTCTCTCTCTCTCTGTCAAATAAATAAGTGAAATCTTTAAAAAGAAAACAAAGAGCAAAATAACAGGCATAAATCTTACATTTAATGTAATCACATTAAATATAAGTGGATTATACACACCAATTAAAGTGCAGGTACTGGCAGAATGAGTAAAAAAACACGATCCCACTATATGCTATCTACAAAGACACACTTCAGACTCAAGGACACAAATAGATTGAAAATAAAAAGGTGGAAAAAGATATACCATGTACAGAGTATACCATGTACAGAGTAACCAAATGAGAACTGGAGTACCCATAGTAATATTAGACAAAACAGATTTTAAAACAAAAATTGTTACTAGAGAAAAAGAAGGACATTTTCTAATTATAAAAGGGTCATTCTATCAAGAATATATAAAAGTCATTAACACAGAGAAGCCTAACAACAGAGCCCCAAAATACATTAAGCAAACACTGACAAAATTGAAGGGAGAAATAGACAATACAACAACAGCAATTGGAGTTTTCAATATCCTAATTTCAATAATGGATAAAACAATTAGACAAAAGACCAAACAGGAAATAGTCTCGAACACTACAGACTAACTAGAACTAACCGACAACAATAGAATGCTCCAAATTCAACAAAAGCAGAACATACATTTGTCTCAAATGCTCATACAACATTCTTCAGGATAGATTGTATGTTAGGCCATAACAGATTAACTTGTTGCCTCAATAAATACGAAGCAATTGAAATCAT